TTTCTCAAACATTATTAACTGATATATCTCGTGCATTTGATCCCTATTATAATTATCGTCAATTACCTCCAGCATTTAATCGTTTTATACGTCAATTAATATTACCATCATTTGTTTATACATCATTAATAAATATATGTAAACAACTACGTAAAATGCTTGAAATAAATGATAAACGTACATTAAAACAATCATTTGAATTTTTTCTTGAATATTCAACATATGAAAAACCATCATTATTTATACGTTCATTATTACTTCTATCATATTTACCATCAATTCAAGGTTGTTTATTAAGTTCAAGAAAAATTTTTGGACAAATATTATTTACTGAACAAGTTAAATATGAAATACGTTCATTTATTGTACCACCATTATTAACATTAAAATATATATCAATTGATAATGAAACATTAAATTATAGTGAAAATTTTTTTCAACGTGCATGTGTACCATTTTCAAATTTATTTTATTCATTATGTAATAATCATGCACGTACACGTGAAAAATTATCAAATTTATTAGATGAATTTAGTGTTTTACAAGATGAAAGTGAAAAATTAGATCAATGGTTACATAAATATCTTATACAACAAATAATACAAACAAATTTATCAACAGTTAATGCTCAAACATTATTATTAATTGAAAAAACATCATATTTTTTTCAATTTATTTTACATTGGACATTATTAATTATGGAATATTATTTATTAATGGGTTTTGATTTATCATTATATTCAAAACGTGAATTATATGATGTGTATTTTTATTTTGCTCAAATCATTTTATTTACACATATTAATGTTTATAAAACATCAAAAAATATTTTAAATACAACTGTACCATTTCTTGTTCAATTAAATCAAAAACAACAAATAAATAAAAATCAAATAAATAATCCATTTATACAACAATTAAATAATTTAATACAACAACATGCAAATGATGATCCATTAATAGAATTAAGTAATGAAAATAATTCTTCACAGAAAAAAAATAAAAGAAAAAATTTAAATGGTTTATTAACAACAAATAATGAATATCATGAACAAGAATTATTATTAGTTAATGGACATTTTTCAATGAGTACAGCTATGCATAGATGTTTAAAAGCATTAGATATTGAACGAAGGTTAAAATTTAGCAGGTAATTTTGTTTTTTTTGTTTTTTGTATTATGAATAGAAAAAATTTAGATGAAAATTTCAAATGATTTCATTAAATGAAATATAATCAAACTAATAAATAATAAATAAAATCAAGATTAGCTACCATTGACAATTAGTTAAAATTTTAAATTAAAATATCACTCAGAATAGAAAACATAGAAAAAAGTTTAATGAGAAAAATCTCCCGACTGATTAAACACTTTTGAATCAGACCTTTAACCTATTGATGCAGAGATAATGCATTTCTACGGTATTTTTTAAGTCAATGTTGTTGTTCTCACTCAGGAACATCAGAAATTCTTATTTTAGAATTTCGACTTGAAATTTTATACATAGGCAAATCTTAATGAGAATAATTTAATGTGTAAGTTTCAGGATCTTTCATTTGTTCATATCCTGAAATAAGAATATTGAATTTATTGATGGAGATGAAGGATATAATAGACACTTTTTTACAATAAGCTATTCTCGCAAAGACCTATCCTTATGCAAAGCTTCAAGTCAATATTCCAAGATCAATGTTCTTGAGAAGGACCACGACATTGAATTGAAAAAAATTGCAATAAAGAGCTAAGAGCTCAAACTCTATTCAGGATATTCATAGTTCATGATGACCTACATAGTCCTGACGAGAAACCCATTCTACTGATAATTTCCATTTGAGCTCATACGTAGGACTCATAGTGGACATAAAAATCCCGAAAGAATTTGTATTATTAACCTTTTCTTCTCGAATTATGCTCATTTTATTGAACTTTCAGTCTATTATAGGATATTATGAGAGAAATCGTAACAAGGAGTTTCGCTTTGAAATTCTTCCCAATATTAGTTCGCATGGTATTCTGAAAGTTTTAGTTCAAACGAGTGTTTTCCTTCTGAGATAATATGTTTGCAAACAACGTTATATTGACACTAGAATTTCAAGAATAATTCAATTTTTAGGCATACGATATCTTAAGAAAGAATCATTCGTTTAAGTTGAAACTTTTAGAATATCATGCGAGCTAATTTTTTGAGAGAATTTCAGATCGAAAACTCTTGTTATGACTTTTCTTGCGATATCCTGCAGAAGACTAAAGCATAATATGAATTCAAACGAAGGTGATCAGTCGGATGAGTTCCGTCGTGAGATACGAATATTTTTTTCTACATGATTTCAGGTGTTCAGTATCGTAATCAATTGAAAATCGTATCTATATTCTCTTATGCTTTTTCTTGATTATATATCCCTTACAAAACAGACAACTTTTTCATAGGATAACTTCCTTTTTTTTATCCAAAAAACAAAATATTGCTTACGGATCATATGAAATTCCAATCGTTTGACTTTTTCTTTCATTTTTAAGCGATAACTGCTTCTCTTTGATTGACATGTATCAGAATTCCTATTCATTTATAGGCTTTAACTGATTCCTATTCTTAACTATAAAAGTATAATATCTTGTTGATCAGGAGCTACTCAAAAAAACAACCATTAAGATCAATGTTTCTCCTCTTAAAATTTCATAGAAGTTGTTTCTTTTTTTTTTTTTCATAATTCGATTATATTTTCAATTTCAGTAATGATTCAAATTATTTTCTTCGTGATGAAATTCGTTATCGTCATCGTTTTCTCCCATTTGCAAATTTATGCGCCCCACCATATATGCCTCATACAGATTTTCTTCATATACAACATTTAAGTGATAATCGTTATACAGCATCTGAATTATATCAAGATGCTATAAATAATTTTTTACAAGCTAAAACATATTTTGAAAATTATCTCAATCGTATAACAACATCAAAACAATATCAACAACAAATGTCAAATCGAACATTTACAATAGGTTTTACATCATTAATTGATGTAGAATCTTATATACGTATAGCTAAAACGAATGGCATTGTATTAAAATTATTGTTAAGTGGACATAAACCCGATGTAAAAATTGATTTTGATTTTAGTTTACATGCCCATTACCCTACATTAAAACTGTGATGTTTTTATTTTTGTTTTTGTCCTATAGAAAGAAAAAAAAATATCGAGTTTGTTTTCATCGTTTTTCTTTTTTTTTTTTTCTTGGCGCCTGTGTGTGTGTATGTTTAGTTTGCATAACAACTAATTCTAATCCGTATAAACAAATGAAGAGAAAGAGAAAAAAAAAGACTTGTTTAAGATAAATCATTAAATTAATAAACAATGGTATTTTATTTATATTCTGTTTGAGACAAAATTTTTTTCAAAAAACAAATTATATTAATTAAAAACAAGAATGACAGATCCAATACTTCATGATCATAATATTGATGCTATTGAAAGTAAAAGTGATGAACCAGAATATGATTTTAAAGAATATTATTCCAGAGAACGAACATTAGCATTACGTGACATTTATATTCCGTAAGTTAAAATATTTGAAAAATAAATAATTATTTTATTTTTATTTAATAGATATTGTACGGAACTTTTTTATCGTGACAATCCACTTAAAATTGTTCGTTGTCAGAATACATATATGTATGATCAATTAGGAAATAAATATTTAGATTGTATTAATAATGTTGCTCATGGTATTTATTTTTGTTATTAATAGAAAAATAATTTTGTTTTCTTTTTTTTTTTGACTTGTTTTTCCAGTTGGTCATTGTCATCCATATGTTGTTACACAAGTATCAAAACAAATGAGTGCATGTGCAACAAATAATCGTTATTTACATGATAATACAGTTATTCTAGCTGAAAAACTTTCTAAAACACTACCAAAAAGTCTTGATCAAATATTTTATACCAATTCAGGGTAGAATTATAAAATGAGTTTTTTTTTTGTTTTTATTATTTTCTTCGAATGTATTTTATAATCTATAGATCAGAATCAAATGATTTAGCACTTCGTTTAGCACGACAATATACAGGAAATTATGATATTCTTGTACTTGATAAGTAGGTGAAAAGAAAACTATTGATAAAAAGAAAAAAAGAAACATTCCTTTGATATCTAGTGCTTATCATGGTCATTTGACAACACTTTTTGAATTATCAACTTATAAATTTAAAAAAGGAAATATTACAATGAAAGAACCGGAACATGTTCATGTTGTACGTATTGTTTAATAATGAAATTAGATTAGTTTTAGTTCGATATAAAAAGTTTAATGTATGGTTAGACTTTGTTTAACTATTTGGATTAACTGTGTTAGAAGAATACTACATATCACATGAAGTCCATTGGACGAGAGAAGTTCTCGAACTGATTAAGTACTTTTGAGTCGATGCTATGTGCATTAGGTAGGCCCTCTCAGGGAAAACGATTTTCGCATTACAACTTGAAACTTTACACATAGACAGATAGAACTCGTCGAGTTGACTCCAGGTCCAGGTCTGAAATTTTATCGAGAGTATCAAAGTACGGTTCTATCGGATCCAAAAATTTCGAACACGATGGGGTGTATAGACAGGTGAAAGTTTCAGGTATTTAGATTTGCTCATATCTTGAAATAAGAGTATCGAATCTGAGCTTTTACAATAAATTATTCTCATTACGATCTGTCACTTTGCAAAATTTCGTGTCGAAATTCGAAAACCATTTCTCCTAAGATGGGTTCCAACATTGTATTAAAAAACTATCTTAAAAATTTAATATCTTGGCAATAATAAGCTAAAGATCCGAACTCTTTTCAGAATATTCGTAGCTTATTAGAGCCCACATGTCGTTCATAATCTTGACTTAAAAGCGATGAATCAGTTCCGCAACTCTTTACTCGTGAGCTGAAATTTTTGAATGTTAATCAGACAAGTTTCATTGTATTGATATAGTTTTTGTTATTTTTTAGCAATAGATTGAAAATTTTGAAGATGAAAAGAAATATTTATGATAAAAACAATCGTATTGATTTTAGTTTCTTAATTATTTTGCGAGGAAAAAGTTTATTAAAAGTGTCAAGATTGATAATCATAATCTGAAAACTTCAGTCAGTGTTTTTTTTTTCAACATTAAAAGACTATCTTCTATTTAAAAAACTATTATAATTCTAGGTAACCTCAATATCTAGAATGTAAACACTAAACTTAAAAATTACGAATTAAACTTAAACTTTATTGAATGACATGTTTTCGAAATTCAAATCGAGGCAAGCTGCTAGATCATCTAAACTCTAAAAATGTCCTCTATACAAAAACTTCATACTAAAAGTTTCCGTGTGGAAAGTATGTTTATATACAATCATTGATATTAATTTTTATGAAGATTGTGCTAGATAGTGTCATACTTGTCGGTTGTTTTCATTTTGTTTCTTCATTTATATCTATTAATGTTGAAGGTTGAAAGTAAGTAATAAGTTGCAATGCAACAGATTGCTTTCCGTTTTCAATCTTTTGTTGTTTGAATATTAGAGATAGTTTTTTATTGAAAAGACTAGATTAGAAATATAGTTGAAAAACTTCAAGAATATTTTATAGAACATTGTTTAATGTTAATTTAATCTTTGAGTTAGATCGAATAAGCTACCATGTAAAAGTTTGTTATTTATTCAATATATTTTGGTATATTAGTTACCAATACCTGATATTTATCGTGGTAAATATCGTGATATTGATTATAATAATGATGAAGAAAAATTATGTCAATTATATGTCAATGAAGTTCATCAAATTGTTGAAGAAGTTGAATCACGTGGTCGTCGTATTGCAATATTTTTAATTGAATCATTACAATCATGTGGTGGACAAATTATTTATCCAAAAGGTTATCTTAAACAGATATTTAGGTAAATAACTATTGCTTTATATTTCTATTTAAATATTCTCGTTTTTTTTAAATTTAGTTATCTTCAATCAAAAGGTATTTTATGTCTTGTCGATGAAGTTCAAACAGGTTTTGGTCGAAGTGGTACTCACTTTTGGGCATTTCAATCATATGAAGAAGGTTATTTATTAAAACAACTAGAATGTTTTTTTTTGTGTAAACACAATCTAAAAGGAATGTTGAAGTATAGGGGTGACAAATTGAACCTCGACAGATGTCGATATATGATCACAGACTGTATATCAATAACATCTTGTTATAATATATGAACTACTTCCTTATTGAATTTCTGGAGGATTAAGTAAAAAGATGGCGAAGAAATGTATTACAAAATAGATCGAGTAGTAATACGAACTCTTTATGATTAGCAACATTATGTTTCATATTTTGATCCTGTGGAGATTGCGCTAATAACATGTTTTCTTTTTTATGCGTTTTTTGATTATTTAGATCTTGTTCCTGATTTTGTTACAATGGGTAAATCTATGGGTAATGGATTTCCTGTTGCTGCTTTGATGACACGTCGAAGTATAACACAGAAATTTGATAAGGATGGTATTGAATATTTTAATACCTATGGTGGTAATCCAGTTAGTTGTCGTGCAGCTATTGCTGTACTTGATATTATTCAAAGAGAAAAATTAATGGAAAATGCTCGAGATGTTGGTAATCATTTATTAAATAAATTAAAGGAAATGGGCGCAAAATATGATATTATTGGTGATGTACGTGGTCGAGGATTTTTTATTGGAGTTGAAATTGTACGTGATATAAAAACACGTGAACCTGGCATTGAAGAAGCACATGAAATCAAATATACGTAAGAAAAATTTGAATATTAATATTGTTATTTAATAATAATAAAATTTCTAGGCTTCGTCAGCATATGATTATTGTTTCACTTGATGGACCTGATCATAATGTTATTAAATTTAAGCCGTAAATAATGTTTTTTTTTTCATATTATTGAAATTTTTATAATTAATTTTTTTTTCTATTGTAGACCAATGTGTTTTTCAAAAGGTGATGCTGATTTTCTTTGTGATAAATTGGAAACAATTGTTAGAGATTGTCAAAAGAAGAAAAATGAAAAACAAGAACCAAATATGTAGAAAAAAAAGTTCCCGATTTATCTCACATTTTTTTTCTTTCTCAGTGTCTTGCATCACTTTTTTTTACCTTGGAACTTATTATTGTAAAAAATTTACAAGTTTAATTAAGCATATGAAAGAAATTTATTTTTGATGCACGCCTTAAAATAGAATGTAGTAGTGCTGTTCTTTATAGTAAAAAAAAAAATATATATATATATATGGGATACCTATGGGATTTGAAAGTTTATTGTATTGTTAAACTACTACTGCTTACTTTTAGATCTAAACATATCCTTCATGATGAACACTATTCCTTTATTTACACATTGCTATTGAAAAGCATTTATAATCTTACATTTCTCGAACAAATGTAATACCGCATTAGAAGGTTAGTAGTATCACTCCCGTTGGGATTAATATAATCACATGTTCTGTGGTGTATGTTTCTATACTTGTATATCATCAATATAGTGTATACTTTATTCAATATGAGATCAACGAACAAATATATATAGAGAAGTAAGTATGCGACAGCTGCAACAGGTAGGGAGTCTTTTCTTATCAGTGTCAATACCAGTCTAAACAGTCAGATCGGATCATGTTATTGTCACGAGTTATGTCTTTACTTTTCTACTCTATAATAGTCAAATAAACCATTTGATTCGTCATTCTTGTCAATAATGACGTAAGTATTTTACTTCACTATTATAACATTTTGCACTATTTATGTTCGTAAGTTTCATTTCGTATTTATTGATAAACAAAAAACTTCAGAGGATTACAGATTCTAAATTAGTTGTTTATACTGTTTAAATATTCGTCAAACATGGACGTTATTAATTAATTAACTATATATATATATTGTATTTGCCAGGTTATATTCATGTTATTATCTTGTATGTTTATGCGAAATGAATGTATGTTATTTACGATAAGAAATAGAAACAAGTCTATGATAAATTACAACGTTTAATATCTATTCAACTTTATTTTCACCGCATATCTTGATATCAAAGTGAGTTAATGGAATAGAAAAAATGTAATGCATATTCTCTCATATGATTAGGCCCCGTTTTGTCAAAACTTTTTTTTCTTGTATTCCCGTTTCGTCCAAAAAATAAAACTACAATGAAAAGAAAGAGAATAGATTATCTGGCCTGATTAGATTTTTTTAAACATACTAAATTAAAGATAATGATTAATAATTCTAAATAATTTTTTTTCAAAAAGAAAATTATTAGAGAACAGCATCAGATACGCATACAGAAGATATTAGAGGAGAAAACATTTACAGAAAAAACAAAAAAAAATCAATATTTTTTTCACTCGCTCATACAGTTAAATGTGTTTGATTTGTAAAAAAAAAATAAAACTTCTATGAACAATATTTTTTTTCAAAAAAAAAACCATGCAAAAATTTTAAAATCTAAATCGGTCTGTAATGAATCCTCCAACGAACCATCCCATTTACCGTTACTAATTACCATTTTGCAGTATACAGCAAGTGAATTTTAACAGATGTTTATCGTTGTAATAGATATCTTCTATTGAATATTTACTTTAAAAAAACCTCTCCATTTGAAGTCTAATAACTAAATTCAGAAACTACTTGAATTTCAACAAAAACTAGTATAATTATACAAGTCTTAAAGAATTCTTTTCTTTTTATTTTATCGCATGTAAATCCGTTCGTTGATTAGAAATTTATCAAAAATATTTAATTGATTTGTATTTTTTTTTTCATTATAAAAATTTTAGAACGAAAACTTCCCAAGTCATTTCATCAATATTATACCATCTTACATTACACATATCAACCATTGGTCCATCGTAGGAAAAAAAAGAAAAAAACGTCGGCGTGTTATTTATAATTGAGTTGTTATATACAGAACGATAAGTTTATAGTCAAACGTGTCTTGCAACTATTCCTTAGTATTTATTATATATGGGAAATATACAACATCATTGCCCAGGTATAAATAATGATCTTCTTGAACTTGATCGTCCTGGAGCTATTTATTTACCCAATGATACTATTTCTGGTAGTGTTTTATATACTAAAAAAACGAATGCATCTATTTTATTAACTGGTATTATTTATTTTAAAAAACGTAAAAAAAAAACTTTAGAAAAATGTCAAATAAAATTTTTTTCAACTGAATTTAATTTAAATTCATCATTAAAGATAAAACAAAATTTCAAATTACATTTAGATAATCATCTTCCACCATCATTTAATGATATAAATACATATCCAAATATAACATATTCAATTAATCTTATTATCTATAAAAAATCTAAAGATGAAATTTTGTCTTCAATACCAATATCCGTATGTCCTCATGTATATCTCGATCGACCTTTACTTTTAACACCATTATTTTTTGGTCCAATAGAAAATCATATATCAGGTATTAAACTTGAAGTTAAAATTAATCGAGCTATTTTTACATTCAATGATACAATACAAATTTTTTATGAAATTCAAAATCCAAATCAACAACATATTTATAATATTCAAATTAGTTTAGGAATTTATTATGTTATTGAATCAAATGTTTGGCAAGAAGATGTGTGTAATGGTGCCGAAAATTTTAATAATATTACATCAAATAATAAATTAATAAGAAATAAAGCTCTATTAAATATACCAAATAAAATATATTTACCGCCAACATTTAAATTTCAATATAGACCAGAAAATGATCCATCATCATTTAATTTAGAAATTGATTATAAAATACATTTTAAAGTTTATTTAGAAAATATGGAAAATCTATGGCAAGTAGATGTACCTATTATTATATGTAATGATACAATAGAACAAACTGAAAATATTGAAGAAGAAAACAATGATGAAGCTGAAAATGTTGAAGAAGAAATTAATAATAAAACTGAAAATGTCGAAGAAGAAATTGATAATAAAATTGTAAATGTCGAAGAAGAAATCAATAATAAAACCAAAAATGTCGAAGAAGAAAAAAATAATAAAATTGAGAATTTTGAAGAAGAAAGCAATAACAAAACTGAAAATATTGAAGAAAACAATAATAAAATTGAAAATATTGAAGAAGAAAATAATAATAAAACTGAAATAATCTCGCAATCTTTTAATGTTAATACTAATATTTATGAAAATAAAGAAATATAATATACAAGTCATTTTAATGATAATATTAAAAGACTATTGAAATTTATCGATTGATTGCAATAACAGAAGAAATATTACTTACGAGGGAACCTTCTCAGATGTAACCTTCCGTTTTCATTCACTTATATCGCATTTAGTTGAATATATTGAGACAATAAAAAGCCGAAAGGGGTTATCCATCAATATCTGCATATATAAATTCATACCAAAAAAAAAAAAGAAAAAACTTTAAATATTTGTTTTATATTTATTTTGATGCTTTTTCAAGTTTCATAACAGCAGCCACCCAGTCAAACAAAAATTTTGAAAAACGCGTTTAAACGCACAATCGGGAACCGCGACTGTGATCCATTCACGCTCATTAAAAAAACGCACGGAAACGCGTTTATTGGCGTTTTTTGTAACTTTCTGGGCGTCAAAACGGCGAAAATCCCAGTTTTTGAGCGTTAAAACGTATTGCTTTTAAATTCTAGAATAATAGTGCGTTTTAACGCTCATAACCTGGAATTTTCGCCGTTTTGACGCCTAGAAAGTTACAGAAAACACCAATAAACGCGTTTTCGTGCGTTTTTTTAATGAACGTTAATGGCTTACAATCGCGGTTCCCGATTGTGCGTTTAAACGCGTTTTTCAAAATTTTTGTCTGACCGGGCATTCGGTCAACATCGTCATCTAATACACCAATAAGAGCATGTATCTAAAAGATTAGATTAGTTCTTGTTTTATCTAAATGAAAAGATCAATTATTTACTTAATGATTTAATAAAACTCTACTTCCAAATTCAAGTTGGTCTTTATTAACTTGAAACATTATAGTAAGATAATGTTGAGAGAATAGGATGATTAATCATCAACAATCATTGGTGATCTGTCTGAAATAAGAACAAACAAGAAATGATTAATTATAGAAGCACTAGCAAATATAAGCAAGATTTTCCTCTAAAATCTATTAGAAAGAATTTTAACATTCTATTTATTTTTTAGAAAAAAAAAGATACACTATCTAATTTTTCACAAGAATAACAATAGAAAAAATCTCGTTGTTTATTATTGTTTTTTTTACTGATTTTCTTATTTTGATTGAAACATTAAAAAAATGAAATCATACCGAGTATCATCGACTTTTGAACATTCTTCCTAAAATAATAAATAATAATTGTTTTTGTAATATTTAAACGAAATAATTATACGTCATGACGATCTTCTTGTGATTTTAAACCTTGTTGATTTTTAATAAATTCTTCTTCTAATAATAAATTATCTTTAATAGGTTTAAAACATAATTGTTTCAAACGACAACGTCTATATGGTAAAACTTCTGCTAATTTATTATCTGCATCAGATCCTTTTGTAGGTTTTTTTTCGTGTTTCCTATACGTGTTGGAACAAGTGGTTCATATTGGTTTTTTCTAGAATAAATAAATATTTCTTTATCGAATTAATCGATTTATTTATCTTACTTGTTTATCTAGATCACCAAACTTGAGAGTGCATGCTTTTCTACATTGTGTACATGCCCAACAATTGTATCTATAAAAGAAATAAGATTTTTCTCCAAGTAAACCAAATATAGTGAGACTAACACATTCAAATGATGTTCATTCCATACATACAAAGCCAATGATTTTGTTACACGTTGAAGAGAAGATGTTGCTCGTTTCTTTTTGTTGAATATATCTACACATAGTTGACAATTGTTTTTTCACCGCCATAGCGCTAATAATGCACTTCGATGGTTTGCGCAAATCGTTTGATTACTTAAGTTAGCTGGTTTCAGGTCATAACAGTCAGCTAAGAGAAAGAAATGCTCCAGTTCAGATCGACAATCCAAAGGTGTTTCATTTGAAGGTTCGAGCAGATTTCCGAAACTCAATCGTTCTTCGTTACAGGAAACCTAAAACAAAAGGCACAATAAAGTAGACTAATAAAAAATATAACTGTCTGCGTACCTGTCCAACTTTTTCTGCGAAGAAATAGAAACACTCTTCATCAATGTCTATCAACATATTTAGACAATCAACAATCCAATAATAACTACTAATCTAAAAATCCCCATAGTTAGTGACAATAGCATACAGTGCAATCTCAGTTCCACTTCTTATATAGCATTATTTATGTAAGTCTCTGACTAACCATAATACAGCAAATATATATGTATATACACAATGTGTCCCAAAAGTCTCTTCCCAAAAGTTTTTTCATATATCTTTGCTATTTTATTTATCCGAACGATCTTTCATAGTATTCTATACAACTATCACCTTTGATCAAAGTACAAAAATTTTGCTTTCTTTTTATTTGCAGAAAAAACGTTATGCAACCTTTTTTTCTTTAATTATTTTGACTTCCCGTAGTAGTTTTGTGTAAATTTTACTTCGAAGAAATGGTTTAAAATTTTTTCAGTATACATATTTCTGTAGAAATTGACGAGCTCTATCTAGCCGTTTAAAAATATCAAAGAAAAAACTTGATCCATTTCTGAGTCACTTGTACTTTAAAAAAGACAACAAAATTTTTACATTTTGATCAAAGGTGATAGTTTTATAGAATCAGCGGCGGATCTAGAATTTTTTTTGATAAGGGGCGATTCGATAGACATGGGGCGATTTTGATCAAAAAGCAAGTTTTGAAGTTTATTAGTAGTAGAATGCACTCTATTTTTAAGACTTTTCTGCTGGGAAAATCCAAAAATTTTTGTTTCGAATGGGGGCGATCGCCCCAAGCGCCCCCCCCCTAAATCCGCCACTGTATAGAATACTATGGAAGATCGTTCGGACAAATAAAACCTCTGTATATTCAGCTTTAATTAAAAAAAATTTGTTAATGAAGTTAAATAAAATAGTAAAGATATATGAAAAAACTTTTGAGAAAGGACTTTTGGGACACACTGTATATAACGATAACATTTGAAAAATTTAATAGAGTGGAAAATCACATAGATGACGAACCTTGAAAAAAATTTGTAGAAAAATTGAAAAAATATATAAGGAATGGAAAATTCAATAGTAAGAATATACATGAAAAGGAAAAATCCTTGTTTCATGACTAACAGTAAGAGAAAAGAACAAGAATACATATGAGTAGTTACTACCACATAGATAAATGTGAGGAATCCTTCCGATTACACCTGCAGATGTTGGCCAGAACACAGTATAATTCTCAAATGTAGAAGAATGGTCAAATAGACAGTAGACTCTTCAATGAAAATCAATTACAAAGTAAGCATAGTTTTTTTTTTGAAATTTGTTAAAAATACGCTCCAACTTGTAAGTATAGCACTGTAAGAATAAAAAAAAACATTATTGATGCAAAGGCAGAAGCGAAAGAAAAAATTTCGATAAGGATACGTGGTTGTATACTTGATAATATTTAAAAGAATTTTATCTTTCTCGAAAATAATTCGTCATTTAATGAAAAAAAATGAATAAATTTTTATCAAAATGTCAAAATATCCTATATATTGCAGAACATTGTGATTGACTTTTTGGAACTTTGCTAGCACTTTAAAAGGAATATTTTTTTATCAAAAGATGCAGCTTTTCGCGCTCTATGAGAATATGTAAACAAAACTCTAGGCACTTATAAACTAACTGTACTACAAATACAAAATATAGAAAGATCAGCATGTCAAAGATACAAAAAAATGGTCGACTCCATGTCTTTTGACGACAATTTCTTTTCTTTCATTTGGACAATAATTAATATTAAATACCAGTGGCGGATTTAGGGGGGGGGCGCTTGGGGCGATCGCCCCCATTCGAAACAAAAATTTTTGGATTTTCCCAGCAGAAAAGTCTTAAAAATAGAGTGCATTCTACTACTAATAAACTTCAAAACTTGCTTTTTGATCAAAATCGCCCCATGTCTATCGAATCGCCCCTTATCAAAAAAAATTCTAGATCCGCCGCTGTTAAATACATAGTTTTGTAGAGCATCTTCTGCTCTATCTATTGGTATAACTTGGTAAAGAATCCAATAAAATTTTTGTGATCGAAAATTTTATAAATGAATACAAAGCAAATCTCGTGAACTTAGAGAAAGTGATATAGAGGGTCGAAAAAGTCGGATCGGCAAAATATTAGAAGGGTTCATTCAAAATTCGTAAAAATTTGGTTTTCTGCCTAACTTTTAATGCTCTTTCAAACTAGCTATCTAATTTGAAAAAGTAAATTTTTTCGGCAACTGGCTTGGATGGTGGTATTGTGGACGCTTTCTTAAAATTTTCTATTTTTTTCAGGAAAATCCAAAAATTTTCTTGTGCTCTATTAGGAAAAACGATGTCACACCCTCTATAAAACCAACCACAGCTTCCGAAAATTCCGGTACAACCCTCAATGTTGATTAACTCGGGCCAGCCTTGTTCTGTTTGGATCAGGTTTGATTAGTTATATAGATGTCTCCCTAACACAAATCTTCGTATTTCTATCAAAAATTTGATTAATATGATAATTTTTACCTATAATTCATGTTGAAAGAAATCAATCATCACTATAAGAATATCCAAATCGAAGTTTTGCCAAAGATAAATTTAATAAATTCTGATTGGTTTAAAAAAGAATCATATATATTTAAGTCAAATGCTTTTTCCAAGCTTCAAATCGTTAAAAATTATTTAATTTATGTTCGGTTATCAATACATTATATTTTTTTTTATAATATAAAAGCCGCCGTTAAACTCAATTAAATATTCTATTAATTTCATGCATCATTGCAATCGACATATAATTGAAGAACGAAAATTTTGTAATTTTACAATTGGGGAAAAAATCGTTCAGGTTTTTTGCTTCCTTTTTTTTTAATCAAAAAAAATTTTTTATCAGTCACGAAAAGATTTACTAATCAGAAATTTGATAAAAAATATTTTTTTCTATCATAAAAATAAAAGTTTTCATTTTCTTTATTCAAAAAAATTATCGATGAATGTTACTTGGAAAAAACCAAGCATATACTTCCCTTTCTTTCTGCGTTCTCTTTCATATAGATTATATTAACTTGATAAAACTAGGTGTTTGATATTGTTTATCGTTGGAAACGTTTATCTATGATAATTATTATTTTAAATTAAAAGACAAAAATTTTTTCTTTTAATCCAGATTGAAATTTATAAATAAAAATGATTTGACAAGAAAAAAATCCTTTTTTTTATATTTTAAAATTATAAATAATTAAATTATCATTACGATGACATCAGCAACAACAACAACAACAACAACAGCATCTTCAGCATTATATAATAGGAATTTGGAAACATTTTCACTTGTTTGGCTTGATAGTTCAATAAATGATTCACAAGATAATCTTCATACTCAACAACAATTACGAACAATAATTAATCATTTACGAACATTTGATAATAGTTATGATTGTGAACATTATATTCGATCTGTATCAAATCATGATCGTATTGTTATTATTGTTAGTGGATTATCAGGTCGACAATTAGTACCACGTATACATAATCTTCGACAAGTTTGTTCAATCTATGTTTATTGTATGGATAGAAAAACAAATGCACAATGGACTAAAAGCTTCACTAAAGTAATTATGCACATATAAAGAAAAAAAAACACTCAGTTTCAAAGTTGTCTTTGAAATCACTAGAGATAGAATTAATTCGATTCTGTTCCGAAGTGATGAGTTAAAAATTCGGGAGAAATCTCATCTTCCCAATCCTCATACTAGATTCTATCTCTAGGATACCATTCATAATCTCAATTGAGGAAAATAATGAAACAATTTTGATTACAAGACTTGTTTAACATTGTTTGCGAAAGTTTAGTCATTTTTCCAATTTATAACATGAACAAGCGAATCAATTTATGGACACGAGAGCATTTAAGAGAAGTGTGTAGGGTAAGCTTTTTTTTCGTACCCTATGCCCTCACTGAGAAAAATTTTCTCATTCTTACCTTACGCCATCCTGCATGCTTCTAAAAATGTTTTTTAAGCTTATCGATCTTACGAGGGAACCTTTTCAACTGTCCAATCGCTTTTGAGTTCGAACTCAGTGTGAAAGATAGACCCCAGTGAGGTATGAAAAGGCCCAAAAGGATAAGTGCCCATAGGCCTTCTGTCCAGAGTTATAGGCATTTTACTGGATTTTTAGCCTATGGCACAGTATATACCAAAAAATCGAATGACAATATTTCGAGCTGAGATTTCGTCCAACGATAGGTCTATGTACCAATAGAATGCCCTGAAAATTTCAGCTCAAAAGAATGTTTCAATCTCGGGATATTAAACTCCCAAAAATCACGCATATCCCGCGAATGATGCTAGAATTTTTTGGCTTTTGGGTGTTCAATATCTCGAGATTGGAACATTCTTTTGAGCTGAAATTTTCAGGGCATTCTATTGGTACATAGACCTATCTTTGGACACAATCTCAGCTCGAAATATTGTCATTCGATTTTTTGGTATATACTGTGCCATAGGCTAAAAATCCAGTAAAATGCCTATAACTCTGGACGGAAGGCCTATGGGCACTTATCCTTTTGGGCCTTTTCATACCTCACTGGGGTCTATCTTTCAAACTGAGTTCGAACTCAAAAGCGATTGGACAGTTGAAAAGGTTCCCTCGTTAGCCAAAATATACGAAAAGAAGAGCTCAAAAAAAAAGAAAGATCTTCAAAGTTAAACACGATTTACAAACTGATATATGAAAGTTGTTTTATACTTAGAAAATGCATGATTGTATCAGATGTGTTAATAAATAAAAATATTATTTCTTTGTCATTAGAACATGTCAAAAAAATTTTTATTTATAAACCTTTTTTTTTCATTAATAGAGCTGAAGTCATAAAAATGGAAAGTAATAATCATTCAGTTGTAATCTGTTAAATGTTTGAATTTGATTAGATCGACAATTAATAAGTACAAAGAAAAACAAAAATGCTTCCTAGCGACTTGAAAACTTATGAATCATGTTTTGATAGTTATGAAAGTTATTTAGAATGTAAAATTTGAGGACATGAATTTGCACCATTCGTACTCATAAAGTGAAAATAACATTTTTCAATATCTATCTTTTCGGTTTGTTTGAATTGACAAATTAAAGAAAACTGTGTCAAGACTTTTTTTTAGCATAGATTATTGCGCTATTGCTATGTAGGTTTCAATGGTGGATATAGAAGAGCATGAGCAACCCTTCCTGGCGAAAGTGATATACGATTTTTTTTTTCTCAATATAAAAGTTCAAAAATGAACTGATATTACTTTAAAGTAATCTTTCAATGGTTTAGATTCAAGCTGTTATTATTAAATCCGAAGATTTAGTAAATCAAATTCAACATGATCAGATAAAACGTATTAAAAAAAAAGATGATGAAGTTCTTCCAATAAATATATTTCATACAGATCAAGGTCAATCAACAACGGGACTTAATGGACAATTTGTACATTCACAATTATTAATTGATTGTTTACTTCGAATGAAATCAAGTAGATATGAAAAAAATGATCTTGTTTCTGTATGTAGAGAAGAATATAAAGGTAATCCACATGAATTATCAATAATAAATGATTTTGAAAAAAATTATACATCATATCGTGCAATATGGTGGTATACAAGACAATCATTTCTATATCGTTTATTAAATAAAGCTTTACGAGTACAAAATATTGATTTAATTTATTTATTTCGTTTTTTTATTCGTGATTTATATCGACAATTATTAGAATATCAATGTTCATCATCAATAAATGTTTATCGTGGTCAATTAATGTTTCATGATGAACTTGAAGTATTAAAAAATTCAATTGGAAAATATATATCAATAAATTCATTTTTTTCAACAAGTCTTAATCGTGATTTAGCTTTAATTTTTTCTCGAGATTCTGATCAATGTGAAAAAGTTCTTTTTGAAATTGATGCTAATCCACAATTTAATGATGAAAAACCATTTGCTAATATAAGTCATTTTAGTTATTTTCCCGATGAATCCGAAGTATTATTTATGTTAGGATCAATATTTCGACTTGTTAATGTTTATTGTAATGATGATCGATTATGGATTATTCATATGACATTAGCAAGTGGAAATGATTATGATTTAAAACCAATACTTGAACATATGAAAAATCAGCATAGTCAAGATAAAACTGATCTTCTTTCATTTGGTCATGTTTTACGTGATATGGGTAAATTTCGTGAAGCAGAAAATTATTATCGTCGATTACTTGATCCATTACCAACGGATTCTCAAGAATTAGGTCGATGTTATCATGCACTTGGTATAATAGCTTATGAAAAAGGTGATTATGAATCAAGTTTAAAATGGCATGAAAATGCACTTGAAATTAAACTACGTTCATTAAAATCTGATGATCCACATTTAGCAAATAGTTATAATAGTATTGGAACAATATATGAAAAAAAACAAGATTATACACGTGCACTTCAATCATTTCATAAATCATTAATTATACTTCAACAAGCATTTGATAATGATCATCCAAAAGTTGCTGTTTGTTTAAATAATATAGCTGGTATATATCAAACAGAAAAAAAATATAATGAAGCATTAGAATATAATCAAAAAGCTTTAAATATAAGAGAAAAACATCTTCCAGCAGATCATCCTGATTTAGGTGCATCACATAGTAATATAGGAATAATATATCGATGTCTTGGTAATTATGATTTAGCATTAAAACATCATAATCGATCACTTGATATTCATCGTAAAACATTACCACCACAACATCCACAAATAGCATCAACACTTAATAATCTTGGTCTTGTTTATGAAGATAAAGGTGAATTTCAACAAGCATTAAAAAATTATGAAAAAGCTGCTTTTATTTATCGTCGTGCATTACCATCAACACATCCAAATATAATTAAAACTGAGCAATTTATTCAACGTGTTTTAACGAAAATGAAATAAAAAAAAAAGAAAATCTTTATACTAAACATATCGACACAATAACATCCAAGATCATTGTTTACGTATAATATCTTTTGATTTTAAATGATTGTATATGTCTTTATATATTTTTTGCAAAGAAAAATGTCAGAGATTGAACTCTCAAAGGTTATATACGTACTTAATCAAAGTATAATCATTTATATTTAACATATTAATAGGATAAAAACAAATCCTATTTGTAAACTCTCAGTCTTATTCAAAAACTATAGAGCATACAGACGAATAATATAGCTGCCATATAACTGTTCGATCCTTAATGAGAAGAATATTTCCAGTTACGAAGGTTATGATTCTCATTGTCGAATCTTGTAAAGTTTTCGTATTTTTTTGCTTGAATACGTCCACCACAATTGTCGCCCTCTTCCAATTGTCAACCGTATATTTCCTAAGTCATCAATCTCCTCCTTGACAGCATCCCTTTGCTTAACGATAATAATGTCATTAAATTCCTAGTTAAAAATCTTGTAAAAACAAAAGATTAAAGAGAGATGTCGCCGATCAATTAATCTCCCATTGTTGAGGATCAATAATTATATACTGATTGGTTAAAAAATTGGCCAAAACTATCCTTTAAACACGTGGCCCTAAAAGAAACAAATAATTACTTTTCTTGTTGTTGGTAAAAAATAAAAGTTTTTTTTTTTTTCTTCAGATTTTTATCGGAGCCAATTGAGATAACTTATAAATCACAATGAGTTTCTTATGGGATTGGTTTACCAGTATTTTAACAACACTTGGTATACACCATCAATTTTAACCTTGAATATATACATATTCAATTAATTTATTTTGTTTGAAAATAGGTCTTCATAAAAAAAGTGGTAAACTTGTATTTCTTGGCCTCGATAATGCTGGAAAAGTAAAGCAAAAAATAAAAGATGAATTTATATTTATTTTTCTCTTATCATCTATTAGACAACACTATTGCATATGCTTAAAGATGATCGACTTGCACAACACGTACCTACACTACATCCAAGTATGATATTTATTTTATATCTAATATGAATAATTTTTTTTTTTTTTT